AAAAAAAAAAAAAAAAAGGGTATTTAGTATACAACTCAAAATCGGGGCTTGTCCTTTTGTACCTAAGGCATCTTCCCCAGTTATTACAGGATCAATGGTTTAGCTACTGAAGTCAGACTTTGGTTGCTATGAACATCAATCATTTTTAAAATCTGGTATAACTGACAGTTCTCTATATCTTTAAAATTGTTGCTAACATTCATTCCCAGAGATTTAAAATTTTTGGATTTACTATATTTGATCTTCAGGGAATATTTTTGGAAAAATGTATGCCAAACAGATATGAATGTCAGGTAATATCCCAATAAACATTCTCTAATGGCCCAATATTTTTAGATCTTATACTTAAGGGAGAGATGAACAAATTTAAAATTTTAATCCCCCTGCCTCAGAAACAGGATTATGGATTTTTTTAAAAGCTCGATTTTTCACTTTCTAAATTATTATAGTTCTTTATTTTTAAAGAAATGTTAGCAATTGTTAATAGCAGCTTCCTCTGGGAAGAAAAACTGTGTAAGTAGAAAATGGGAAAACAGAAACCTTTTGAGTTTTATGAACAGGGAAACACACCTTCTGGATTCTGTGTATGCATGTGAGTTCTTTGCTTGTTTGCTTCTTTGTTTCTGAGACAGAGTCTTGCTATATAGTTAGGCTGGCTTTGAATTCACTATGTAGTCCAGGCTGGCCTTGAACTTGTGGCAAACCTCCTGCCTCTGCCTCCTGAGAGCTGGGATCACAGATGTGTGCTCCCATCCCTGGTACGTGTGAATTCTAAATACAGGCTTTAAATGGTCAGGATGAGGTATGTTACATTATTGGTTGAAGTGTTTATTCTGTTAGGGAGATGTTTCAAGAAAAATTTGGGTAAGTTATAAAAAAATAAAATTTTAATTTTTCTTCCTGTCTATCTACTTATCTATCTATCTATCTATCTCAGTGCTGGAGATTGAATTCAGGGTCTTCCTACTGAGCTATATCCTCAACCCTTTGTGTTACCATGCCTGGGGTTTTTCTTTGTTTCTAAAATTTTTTTATTAGTACACATTTGCAAAACATAATGATTACATTCATCATGGAGAGGTGATATATGTACATGATACACCTTCATTCTTTTTACTTGTGCTCTCTCTCCCTCTTTTGTTAAAATAGTACTGGGGATTGAACCTAGGGCCTCTGCACTCAACTACATTCCATCTTTTTAGTTTTCTTAATTTTGAGACAAGGTCTTGCTAAGTACTCAAATTGCTCAGGCTAGGTTCAAACTTTCAATCTTCCTGCCTCAGCCTCTCAGAGTACTGGGGTTACAGGCATGCCCTACCACACCCAGATCCATACCTGGCTAACTTTAATTTTATATTTTAATAGTTAATTTAATAGCTGTAATCAAGTTATGCTTAGAGAATTTAATTTGTGGTCTTGCATGACAGATGCCAGCTTTCAAAAATCACTTATGCCTGAAAGAAAAATTCTACCTTCTCTTAAAATAGACTGGAGTGAAATGGCTAAACTTGACCTTCTCAGCCCCAAAGGGCTGACTACGCAAGCCGAAGTACATAATGCTAGCACATACCTGTAGGAGAAGAAAGCCACCACCTACTGCCGTTGCTGCAAGTTTCCCAACTTTCTGGAATAAAAATCCTGCACACCTTTAATGAAAGAAATAACAAAAGATGAGAACAACCCATGTTCCAAAACAGTGATGACAGACCTTTTAGAGCTTTCAATGGTACAAACAGCCGGTATACATGCCGTAGCTTCACCACCACTGTCCTAAATGCTTGTCTCTTCTACTCTTTATTGCTTTCCTAATAAAATCTTAACATCTTCCAGTTTCTTTCGATCATGTCTCCTGCCTGCTGAGAAACACTCAATGTTTCCTTTTGGTCATACAGGCTAGTCAAAATGCACTATGTGCCAATGTGGTGACTTACACCTGCAATCCCTGCATTTTGGGAAACTGAGGCAAGAGGATAATGAGTTTGAGGCCAGCCTGGGCACCCTATTTCAAAAAACCAAAACAAAAGTACAATCTAAACTTTCTGAGATTTGCTGCAAAATAAGGGACAGAGACAAGAGGATTTATAGCAAAAAAGTATCTAGTGAAATTTAATGATGAATACTCAAAGGTTCATTATACTCCTATATTTGCATAAGCTGAATTTTCCTGTAATAAGAGTGATTTGTTTTGCTTAACACAGTCAAGATGTTCCACATACCTGGCCAATACCCACTCTACCCAACTTTCTACTCCATCCTAGTTAGTTTCCAAATAGGTCATCACCTCTTTGTGAGCTATTAATCTCCTTGCTTCTAAGGGTTTCTGCCTAGCTCTGCCTATCTAAAGCTTTCCTACCCTCTAAGGTCGGGATGTAGTTCCACTTTTACTATTGTACTTCAGCTCATACTTCTCACAGCCTCCTTATCTGTGTCTATTTTTATATTAGGCTGTTATGTCTCATTTATCCTGTAAAAGTGTCCGTCTGTACTTCATCAATGAGATCATATTCCTTTAAGTATTCCGGATCCATACTGTGCAAAGCAATCCCAGATTCCTAACTCCAGCTTTCTGTACTGATCTGGTGTCCCCTCCAAATTCATGTCCCTCCTGGAATCTGAAAATATGATCTTATTTGGAAGTAGGGCCACTGTCGATGTAACTGGCTATACACAGTAGGCTCTTAATTCAAGTCATGTCATAGAAAACCGACACACACACACACACACACACACACACACACACACAGAACAGCAAGTGATGACAAAAAGGAAGAGATTTATTTACAGGAGAAAGCACTATTCTCCGAGCTTGCTACCTCATATTCATCTGTTTCTACCTGCTTTGTCTTTGGTACAAATGACTGCAAAATTCTATGTATTCTATCTCTAAAAGATTTTCAGACTCTGTTTTCTCCTTTCCATTTTTAAGGGTATCATTACCTTGGTAACGGTTCAGGCCTCCATTACCTTACTTCCAAACTGCTCTAAGGGCAAGCTAACTGGTCTTCACACCTTCCAGGTCTCCTAGCAACCACCCAGTCCAGGCTTTCCAAGCTAACTTCTACCAATTACGGGGCTTCTTTCCAAATTTGGTCTATAGGGAGAAAGCACGCAATGAGCTGATAATTCTACTTCTCAATTATTTTTTAGTATATTTTAATATGGAGCTTTGGCCCTCTCACCAAACACCCATGGCTTTTTAATTTTTTTTTTATTTTTTATTTTTTGGTCTTTTTGAGACAGGATTTCACTATGCAGTTCAGGCTGACCTTGAACTCACTTTGCAGCCCAGGTTGGCCTCTCCAGTGCTGGGATTGCGGGTGTGCACCACCACACCGGGTTTAATCAGTCCTGTAATTCCAACACAGAACAGATGATCTACAGGTTTCTTCAACATATAAAGAGGGGAAGAGGGACTCAAGGGAGGGGAAAGGGACAAAAAGAAGCAAGATATGTCATGTCCAGATACAAACTCCCTATGATGAATGTTATCACTATGTAAAGTGTACCAATAAAATAAAAACAAAAAAAAAGTACTATAATCTGAATCAGCCCACAAAAGTCCACTCTGTGTCATCATCAATAACTTCTACCGAGCATTTACACTGCTGTCCACAGGGCTGACAATCCTAGAGGCCAGATCTGCTGGTGGAATTTCTCCCATGTTTTTCCAATGGTTGACAAGTCAAAATTCACATATAATTAACTCATATATTTCTTCCTATTTATTCACTGTGACTGAGTCAGATCCACTACACTGGCTGAACTTGAAAGGGGAAAATATATAAAGGAAGGAAAAAGAGAGGAAGAGTGGTATAGTGGTGGGCAGGAGGGCGGGGGATCACACCAACTACGCCAAAGACAAAAGCCTCCAAGTAATGCTCTCCTGGAATTAACAGTACTGACCCCACCGAATATGCAGGGTAACTCTGGCCCTTTATAGAAGGACAACAGCCAGGCTCCCAATGAAATGTAATGAAAAACGTGTTCTCACCAGCCAGTCACGCCACCCATTACAATCTGGGTAGCTACTGAGTATTTTTCTACCATAGGTCCTGATCGGTGGCCAAACACTCGATTCCACCAGTGGTGTCTTCTTGCATACTCTGTTAAATCCAACACTTCGTAAGAGTCGTCATCACTTTCATATTCTTTAAAACACAAAATGGAAAAAATAATTTGAGTCAATCGAGAGTCAAAAAATGTCGCATACATTTTTTGTTTTTAAAGTCACAACTCAGGTCACTTTAGGCTTACAGCTAAAAATGTCCATAGGGAAACTAACGAGTTTAAACTCAATTCCTAAGACTAGAGTTTCAATAGCAGAGGGCCTGGCAATACTATTAACCCCCCACCTCCTTTCCAGAGGCCCACGGACCGCCTGGAGACTCGGGACCAGGGCCAGTTCATTGTCACACCGCAGTGAGAGGTCACCTCTCAAATCTCAGAGCAGCATCAGGGTCAGGGCAGGGTCCTCCTCTGAGTAACAGGGCAGGAGCCCAGCGACAGGAAATCACTTGGGGTGGGTGGGGGGGACTCAAAAAAAAAAAAAAAGGAAAAGGGAAAAAACGTTTTAAGGTGGCGATGAAGTGCCAGAGGCGAAGACAAGGCAGCGTAGGGCTGTTGGGCGTAGGGGATCGCTTCTGCCTGAGCTCCCCAGAAACAGCACAAGTCTAGCTCGGAGGGGTTGCTCAAAGGGGCTGCTTCGAAACAGAGCCCCAGGAACCCTGGAGCAGGGGAGGGAAAAAACGCCGGGGAGCAAGGTCGAGAGCTGCGAGCCGCGTCCCAGACACTACTTCGGGCCCTGGCCGCTCACCTTGGGGAGGGGGGTTCCGGGACGCCATGATACCTCCGGCGGCCAGTTCTGGGGTGGTCCCCGCCCGCCCTCCTCTCCCCTGCACTTTAAGGGCCGCTCTAGGCCAAGGGAGGAATCTATGGTCTCTTTTTTTCCCTTCCTCCTTTTCTTTTCCCTTCTCCGCCTCCTCCTTCTCCTCTTCCCGGATCGTTGCTCAGTCCCCGCCTACTTCTCTCAGCGCAGGATATTCCGCGCAGGCGCACGGCTCTGGGAGTTGGGGGGAGGAACAATTGGCTCGCAGCTCCGCGAGAGTTTATGGGAATTGTAGTCTGTTACCTTCCCCAGCCGAGATCTGGACTACTCCATCCCCCTAGAATGTCCATAACCATAATTCTTTTATTTTGCTTTAAAGACTTTCAGGACTGGAGGAATGGGTAGGGGTGGTACGTGACAATATAAAGAGAAAACCTGCTGGGTATTGACAAAGACTCTTCTTGACCAAATTTTAGTAAAAAGGCTCCTCTGAAGCTCTTTTTGACAAGGCTTCCCCATTTGGCTCAGTGTTTGGCTTGCCTAGTTCAGTTTTAATAAGAATCCTGCAACGTCAGTGCAGTGAGAATTTCCCCCCTACCCCTGATATCTAGTCATGTGAGTATCCAAATTTTTCGTCCCCCCACCCTTGGTAACTAACTGATCACCCAGGCCTTCCTTCAGCAAAAATCCTTTAATTATTTTTATTTATTTATTTATTTTTTGCCTTTTTGAGACAAGGTCTCACTACGCAGTTCAGGCTGGCCTTGAGCTCCCTTTGTAGCCCAGGCTGGCTTCAAACTCACAACGATCCTCCTGCCTCAGCCTTCTAAGTGCTGGGATTACAGGTGTGTGTCACCACACCCGGCTCCAAAAATCCTTTTAAATTGGCTCAGCAAGAATAACCCTACCCCAGAAGTCTCCTCTTTTAATATTCTACCCATTGACCTTCTCACTCTGATCACTGGGCATTTTTTTTTTTTTTTTAGGTAGCAGGAATCAAACTCAGGACCTTGTGCTTGCCAGGCTGGCACTTGTACCACTGAGCTATATCCCCGGCCCCAGACCACTGGGCATTAAACCCCAGCTGTGTTTGCTGTGTTCAAAATTGAGCCGGATCCCACATCTTTATTGTGATAATCTTGACACCTACTTATTTTGAGATGGGGCCTCACTAAGTTATTAAATTGCTCAAGCCAGGCTCAAACTTGAAATCCTACTGCTTCAGCCTCCCAGAGTGCTGGCATTTATGTACTTGCCCCACCACGCCCAGCCAGAATCATTTTCTAAAGTGTTTTAAATCCTATACTGTTCCAGAATTTAAGTGCTTAAGGAAAAGGCTTTTTCAAAGATTTTTTTTGTTTTTTGTTTTTTTCTGTTTTTTTTCCCGGCCCTGGGAATTGAACTCACGACCTTGTGCTTGCCAAGCAGACACTGTGCCGCTGAGCTAAATCCCCAGCCTCCATGATTTAAGAGAAACCCTATTTCAATTCATGTTTTTCTAAAGAGGCGAAGGCTCTCTGAAAAACAGAAGTTTTTCTAATGCCCTGCAGCTAGGACTTGGAACCTTTCCATCTGTTCTCTGTCCACATATTTCTTGCCAGGAGCCCAAGGGGAGGTAGAGGAAGGCCTAGGATCTGACCTGATAGGAGCTAACTCAAGAAGACTTAATTTTTTAGCATCATTCTTATTATTTAAATCTGACAGAAGAATGAGGTCAAGTTTTTTACCCAGAAGTTCCTTGGGATTCTGTAAAATGTAAAACCATATTGGTCACCAAAGTTAACTCAAGTTCATGTAAACGAGCCCCAAATTTATGTGTGTATGTATGTATGTTATCCATCTTGGGAGTCCACATGGTTACTGATTTTATTTAATTGAAAAAAAAGACAGTGAGGGAATAAAACTGCACATACAACATGCCATGGGTCATGTTTGCAGACAAATTTACCCAAAATGAGAATGAGGGACTTATGGCTAACTGAAAACAAACTTGCAGAATTAGCAATGTGGTTTCTTTCACATCTGAAACTGCACTGACTGCACAAGAGAAATGAATCTCCAACTTCTTGGCTTTCCCCGAAAAGACAAAAAATAGAGGAACCGTTTTGGTCAAACAGGAATTAAGAATTCACTACCTGGTAATGACTTTAGTTATTGTAATGGCTGCTACGCTGTGTCAACTTGAGAAGTTTAGAAGGTGTGGTGGATTGACAACTGGTGGTCACCTTATAACCCCCAGCTGAAATGAGTAAGCCTGGTGCTGGGTGTGGGAGGCCCACCAGAGGATCCTTGCCAGCAGCATAAGACCGCAGAACTGGAGAAGAAGAAAAAAGGCTGTTGGGAGCTGGTAGAAGCTCTAAGGACCTGTTGGTTCTTTTGGAGGAGCTCATCATGCTGGCTTTCCTGATGAACTCGGCTGTTTTCATCTTCCATGGAGCTCGGGACCTTGTTGGCACTGAGAATAGCTTCAGTTCACTTTGGGGGAGCCCTGGTCCTCACTCTGAGCATCACTTCCTGGCTCTGGAGGGGAAGATGGTGCACTTCTCAGTCTTCTGGAGAAGGTTGTTGCTTTGGTTTTCCTGATGGGAAATCAGCCATGCTGATCATCGGAGGAGCTCGGGACCTCGCTGTTGCTGAGAATAGCTGTGGTACTTTTCGGGGGAGCTCCGGTTCTTATTTTGAGCATCACTTCCTGGTTCCAGTGTAGATCCCTCAGCCTGCTAGCCTAGATCCTTCATCCAACTGGCACAGACTTTCTAGATTCCACCACTGACCTTTGGGCCTTCCCAGCACAGATCCATGAAACAAGCCTGCGTGAGATGTTGTCGTGGGCTCTAGGCCTCCAGCTGGACTTGTGGGAGGCATTGTTATGGGCTCTAGGTCTTCAGATGGACTCATGCAGGACATTATCGTGGGATCCAGGCCCTCAGCTGGATTCTTTGGTCTTTAGTGTGTGGACAGATTTCCTGCACTCTCTTATATATGATTCTTTGGGTGACTATAATAAATAATCTTATAAAATATGTGTCCTGTATTATACTGTTCCCCTTGCAAAAACCCCAAACCAACACAGAAGTTTAAGGAAGTGACTCAGCAGGGGGCCAGGGTCCTCACTTTGTAAATATCCTAAGCCTGTGCAAGAGGAAAGCACAGAGATGGTGTGGGTGCTACACCCTCCCGAGGGCAGGTAGTCTGCTTACAACATAAGGGAGGAAAAGAGGCTTGTTTCCACCTTTTGCTCTTGCTTCTTTTGCTGTCTTCTGCCACCTTGAACTATTGCCCCGTGCCATGCCACCCTGCCTTGGAGCCAGCTGAGTACAGACTGAAGCCTCCACAAACTATGAGCTAAATAAACCTTTCGTCCTTTAGTTTTGAGTGCTGGGTATTTTGTCTCAGCAACAAGAGAAAAGTAACCAAGTGTTATGGTTTGTGTCTGGGTGTACCCCCAAAGCCTCATGCGGCCATGGGGCAGGCTTTTAAAGTTTGATTGATTAGGGGTGTGAGAGCTGCACCTGCCCTGGGGTGGATACTTTGCATATGTAAGGGAGAGGAAAAGGTTGCTTGAGGCCAGTCCATTCCTCTGCCATTCCGCCCTGGTGCGTGTTTGTTGCTTTTGCTGTTGTCTGCCGCCCTGAGTTGTAGCCCTCTGCCATGTGCCACTCTGCCTTATAATCTGCCAAGTACGGACTGAAACCTCCACGAGCTGTAAGCAAAATAAACCTTTCCTTCCTTAATTTTGGGCATCAGGTATTTTGTCCCAGCAACGAGAGAAAAGTAACCGAGACACCAAGACAGCTATCTTCCTGAAAGTACTTGGGAAAGGAAGCGCTCATGGAGGAAAACCTGACACACTTACAAGGCTCCTAAAAATGGGAAGATGTCTGCGAATGGAGCTCTTCCTATTGGGTTTTCTACCAGCGTGTGTCGAGTGCCTGACTTCCCACACTGCACCACCTTTCTTGAGATGACCATCTAGCCTCTCCATCCAACAGCCTGCCGAGCCCTGCGTGCCGCAGGACAGGCGCAGCAGGGAAGACTCGGTGCAGAGGAAAACAGGTGGCCGTGTGATCCCTGAGGAAGGGGCTATGGTGGCTCCTGAGGTGGTGTGTGTCAGGGTGGGACACGGCTCACTGAGGCTCCCGATGCTCCCTGGGGCTCAGCGTGGCTCCCCCCCGAAACTAATTTTGAACTTACATTATTTCTAATTCACTGTAAAGTTAAATAGAACAGCTCCCTCAGTATTAGTTTTAATGGAAAATCAAGAAATTCTAGTATATACTTCATTACTTAAAATATTGTTTTGCAGCCAAGTGTGGTGGCGACTGTAATCTCAGCACTCTGGAAGCTGAGGCAAGAGGATTGCCACAAATTTAAGGCCAGTCTGGGTTACACAGTGAGTTCAAGGCTAGCTTGAGCTAAATAGCAAAACCCTGTCTCAAAGAACTAAAATAGCCAAGCATGGTGGCACACGCCTATAATCCTAGTACTCGGGAGGCTGAGGCAGGAGGATCGTTGCAAGTTCAAAATCAGTCTGGACTACAGAGTGAGCTCAACGCCAGCCTGAACTGTACAGGGAGACCCTTCCCAAAAAGACAAAAAAAAAAAAAAAACCAACAACCTAAAATAAATAACAACTAAATAAATAAATCTGAAGACAATTAGTCTGTGTAAGACTCTCCTTTTCAAACACAAAATGGCTTTGGGGACATAACATTGTATTGATTCACTGGCATGTTTTCCCAGAAGCTACAGGCTTGAGTTCGAACACTCCTTTCCATTACTGGCTGCTATGGTTTAGATGAATGTCCTCTAAGGGTCCATGTGATAAAGGGTGGTGGCGATGCAGTTGAGTGGGCCGAACTTGTCCAGGTGTTTGTGTACAACAGGGAAGAATTGTCAAGCGTAGAATTCATAGTATATTGTTTATTGAAGACTGCGGGGGCAGCAGCAGGAACAGGCAGAAGCGCAGAGCAGGCACAAAGGGGCCTTTGTAACTCAGGCATCCAGTATTTATAGGGCCAGACATCCGTTGGTCCGAGGTGCCTCCCACCGTCTCTCTTTCCCGATGTCAGCAATCTGCGTGGCCTCCTAAGTTTAAACTTGACTAGTCATTAGGGTGGCCTTGTGCTTATGGTTGAGTGGAGAAAAGGCGGGTAGCCCACACAGCTTTCCTGTGTTAGGGTTATGGAAGCAAAGAAAACTGTTA